ACGCCATGACCAATATTTATCAATTAAGTTTTAGTGAGGGGTAGGGGGGGGGGGGTTGGAAAAAACTAATGGAATTAAGTTTTTTATCCGACATCGATCTTTTGACGTCGTCCCTTAATACATCTAATTTCTATTGATACTATATCAGACCAGTCACTGTAGATTATTAACTATGCTTTTGGTCCATATTACTTTATTTTTGGCATAAATAACACTTCTATTTTCAACGAAGACTGTCAATAAGTACAATGATTTGTCTTAACCAGTTTGTTACAGAAACATATTGAAACAAATTTTCGGTTTTGGAGCAAACAGGAATGACCCCAGTAAACATTTTTAATGATAACTTTAATAGTTAGTCAGAAGCTTTGCTTTCGATTTCCAAAATATATTTTTTAATAAATGATCTTCAATTATTGTGCAATATGGGACATGATGTATTTTATAAAGATGATATAATAAAAAGTTGTTTTATGTTTAGTAAGATTACAATTATGTGTTACATCATACATGGTCTGGTATTAATACTGTTCATGTACTGGAAATCGAGAAATGTGAAATTTCAGAAATTTGACTGAAAGGTGACATGTTTGAAAAGTTCCTGGAATGTGAAAAGGCATCTGAAGAGCGTGCCCAAAATATCATGAAGTTGTCTGCAAAGATCAGTGTCTTTCTTCAAACTTCTAAAAGTTCCTTTGGAAGACAGGAAATGTTCGGTCTCTCTAAAACAGAAACATTGCTTGAAAAAGTTCAAAGATTCACACAGGTTAGCTATGTTGCCCAAAAAGTTGTCTAAAATTTAAAAAAAAATTGTTTTGGCAAGAGGGAAAGTTGCCTGAAAGGTCATTGATGTGAAGGTTGGAAAGTAGCTGCAAACTCCTAGCAAACAGCAGGAAGGTTGCATGGAGTCAAATAAAGTTGTAACTTCGCATTTAAACACAAAATTGTTGAATAAAATGTCACAAAAGATATCTAAAATTTAAGGGTTTTCGTAGAAAAGTTTACTGAGAAGTCATACCAGTTGCTTGTAAAGTTCAGTCGTATTTGTAGGCAAGAGTAGTATTGAAAGGTGTGAAAGTTAAATGAAAAGTCATAGAAATTAACTGCTAAGTTTGGAAAGTCACTAAGGAAAGCAGTAAAGTTATCTGAAAAATCTTGGAAGTCGTCTAAAAAGGCTTGAAAGTCATCTGCAAAAGACTTGAAATGCCAGTGTCATCTACAATCTTCAAAGAGGCACACTGGACCATGGGAAAATTGCCTAAAAAGTCGTCTGTAGATGTCTCATCTTACTTTTGCAATGATTAAAACATCACTTTCGAAAGTAGGATAGTTGTGTAAATGTTGCCCAAGATGTCATAAAAGATTGAAAGAAGAGAAAGTTGCCTGAAATGTCTACAAAGATCACAGAGTAGATTCACAAGGCAGCAAAATCATCTTCAAAGTTCAGAAAGTATTGCAATGTGTGAAAGTTGAATGAAAAATCCTGAATGTTGTTTGTATAGTTTTGAAAGTCACATTTAAAAGAGAACATTTCATAAAAAATAACGTCATCTGCAAAGTTTGAATAGTCAATTCAGGAGGAAATACATGAAATATCATGAAAGTTCTATGCTCACAGATGACAGATGGTGAATTTGTGTATCATTACCATGGATAGTAGGATTCTGAAAGGAGTCATTTTCACATAGAAACAAATATTGGTAAAAACACTAACACTTTTCCTCATATATGACCACAGATAAACTGCTAATTTTAGTATCAAATGTATACCACTGTGAGCATTACTTTGAATACACAAGTATATAATCTTGGTGAGTGTTTTTCAATGAAAAAGTAACAGCCAAACTTTTATAGTTATTGTGTCTTGGTGCTGGCTCTGCATAGTTTAGAGAGTAACTTTGAAAGATGAGAAAGCTGCCTGAAAAGTCACTTTGGAAAGCGAAAATGTTTCATGAATAAGTTCTGAACATTCAATAGCCCTACTATGACAGAGGTACTAAAACAGCTGCTAGTTGATTAAGTTGTATATCAAATACTTTATTTTGTACCATGACGTAATTCACATTAATACAATTGTGGTAAATAACCATGTGCCTATCGTCACATTGATTGCTTTATTGTATCTATAAATTGTACACAGTGATAACAGTTTTGATACTAATATAGAAAATAAAAAGGTACAACACTTTCCATAAACTGAATTGTGTAAATTGTCATCTGAATTTCAGTGACAATTTTTACTGAAATTCAATGGAAATTCATTTGCATAAAAAGTGAAAATATATCTTGAAATGCAGCATAATGTAGTGGTAACACAAACTGAAAAATCTATTTTAATTGTTGACTGCTCTACATATTTACATAGCAAATTTTTAAACAAAAACTGCCATATGAAAAGTCTAATAATACTACTCATTGAAAATAAAAGAAAACAAAAATTACATATTATAATAAATATATTAGGTCTCTTCATCACTCCAGTAAAATTGTGAGGGGTTTCCCATCTGGACCAATTTGCTTCACACCATGTGTTAAATCATACTCATGTCTCAAAAATGCATAAAGAAGATCTGTTACCAAGAAGATCTGTTGATATGAATAAAATTTTTCAGCATTAGAAAGTTTTAACTATTTGATAATAATTATCGTTCTTTCTTTCTAAATTATGAAGGGGATTATAACAATTTAACTTCTAATTATATCTCTAATACAAGGATGTATAAATATGGGCATGCAACCAATGTGATATGCAATCAAGATCTCATTTTCGAAGTCACATGATTTGCGAGACGTAACACAAAATTGAAAGACAAATTTCTATTCATAGAAATGCAATTGGCCGAGATCATGCATATTGCATAGTCCATTTGTTATGCATTTTTTTGTTGTTTCTATTTTCACAAGCAAACTTTTTCATGTGTCACTTGAAATCTTGGTCAGAATATTAAGTTTGATTGATGCATGCATAGAACTTGTACATTTTATTTATTTATACATGAAACACATACCTGAGCTGTTGTATAAACCAACGTCATTGCAAAGAAAAAGTTTGCATTAGCGCTACCAGAATAGATCCATAGATGCCACACTACAAATGCCAAGACTGATGATACAACATACATTACACCTACTACAAGACTGTTCTTCAGATCTGAAAAAAAAATGCAATAAATTGTAATATTTATAAAAGTTTGTTTGTCTGGTTTCAGAACATGATAGTTGAATGTTTTGTATCACCCTTGGTCATTAGATTCTTTAAATTTGGTAAATAAACCCCTTTTGTGTTTATGAAAATTAACTGCATTAGTTCAGTAGTTCACCAGCAGTTTTAAACCTTTATGTTCGTTCGTGTTTGCTGTAGTATAAGTTAATAACTGTATACACTGTCATATGTTTACAATTCATATAATATGTAAACTCACATCCATGTAACCATAATTATATGTGAATACGTGTAACCATACTTACATGTGAATACGTGTAACCATACTTACATGTGAATATGTGTAACCATACTTACATGTGAATACGTGCAACCATACTTACATGTGAATACGTGCAACCATACTTACATGTGAATATGTGTAACCATAATTATATGTGAATCTAGGTAACCATAATTACATGTGAATATGTGCAACCATAATTATATGTGAATCTGTGTAGCCATACTTACATGTGAATATGTGTAACCATACTTACATGTGAATATGTGCAACCATACTTACATGAGAATACGTGTAACCATAATTACATGTGAATACATGTAACCATAATTACATGTGAATACGTGTAGCCACACTTGCATGTGAGTACGTGTAACCATAATTACATGTGAATACGTGTAACCATAATTACATGTGAATACGTGCAACCATACTTACATGTGAATATGTGCAACCATACTTACATGAGAATACGTGTAACCATAATTACATGTGAATACGTGTAGCCACACTTGCATGTGAGTACGTGTAACCATAATTACATGTGAATACGTGTAACCATAATTACATGTGAATACGTGCAACCATACTTACATGTGAATACGTGCAACCATACTTACATGTGAATACGTGCAACCATACTTACATGTGAATACGTGCAACCATACTTACATGTGAATACGTGTAACCATACTTACATGTGAATACGTGCAACCATACTTACATGTGAATACGTGCAACCATAATTATATGTGAATCTAGGTAACCATAATTACATGTGAATACGTGTAACCATAATT